GCACCTTCTGTTCACAATAGTTGCACCTTTTACTTGCTTTATACTTGTACAGTTATCTGGTAAATCTGTGGTCTGGTTTGGGGTTTTCCCACGTGGCAGGAAACAGAATCAAGCCATGTTCCTCTCCCACGGGAAGAGAGAGGAGAAAACAGAAGAGAATTCATCTACTAATGTCTCAAATTGCCCTTGTAGGGATGACACAGAGTTGTACATGTGATGTACCATCTCTTCCTCAAGATTCTACCGAATTAAGATGCTTCCTGAAACAACTGTTGTCTTTTTCATGTGCAAGATGTGTTTATACACATACATAGTGTTGGGTTGAGCAATTCCTAGCACAACAGAAATAAGAAAATAGTTAATTTTATCTAGACCCCTTCTTTACTAACAGTTGGGACAAAACGCTAAAAAAATAAAACAGTAACTTCAGTCCATAACTATTTATATTCCCAAAATTGATTACATGATTGAAGCCCTGTGTAATAAAAATGGTACAACCAAACTCTTTTTCATTTCCTGTTACTTCAAGGTAAGGAGTTTCTTCCCAATTGAGTAAACAAAAGAACAGGCTCCAAACACTTTCCCTGTCTTTGAACACCACCTTTTGCCGCTGTAACCCAACATCCAGATCTCTCAGTGACAGCAGTGACCTCCCAGGGTTCAGCCTTAGCTACTGCACTAAATTTCCTTGACAATAGTGGAAAAGGGGAATCTGTGCCACCAGCTCACAGCAGTAACCTCCACTTGGGTTTAAGCTCCACGTTACACAGCTTGTGTGATTCATCACAGGAAAGCAAAATGTACCAAGAAAATACATATAAATACCTGGAAGATTTAACATTTGGACAAGTATCATCTCAGGATAGATGGCATTGTATATACCTATATACATCATATACCTATAAGCATCACTAAGATAAACAGTCTCCTCAGGAGCCTGACAATGCATCATATTGTAAACTCACAGCTGAAGAGGAATTTCTACAGAATCCTTACAAACACAGGGACTGAAAAGGTTCCCTGGATCATCAAGTACAGCCCTCCATTGCTGTAGGCAACCGTGCCAAATAAACCTTCATAAAGTGATGCATTTCATTTTAAATTAATGAATTTTTCTCTGATTCATCCTTCTCAGAGGTAATTCTACTTCCTTGTCTCATAGTTAAGGAAGCAGTTTCCAGTCTAAGTTTATTCCAGGACATGTCATTTATACCTTTGCTAAAATCAGAAAACAATGAAACAAACAAAAACCCCTCAACAATCTTCAGGTTTATGTTCATGTATAAGGTTTATGTAGAATTATTACTTTAAATCAACAAACCTGGAGTTACAGTTATATCAGTCTTTGTTATCAGCTTGTCAGCTACTTAATAAATACATTCTATCGTCTCTGTGGGAGTCTAATTCCTGTTTCATAGGTATGTTCTGCACTAGGTGCCAAATATAATCATCTATAATATAACCAGTGATAAATTTTAACAGTTTTCATGTCTGTACATTTGTGTGTAGTTTTATTATGTAGGAAGCATCTGAATTTAAACTAACATGTCAGTTCTATCCAAACCATCTTCCTCTTGAAACCTCTTAATATTGTTACACTTCTGATATGTGACAGAAAAGGAAAGCAAGAAAAAACACACTGATAGACTGGTCACCACCAGTAATTATAATTATCAAAACAGCAACCCAGTTCTCATCCCTACCTGTTAACATAATTGATTATGATACTTAGAGGGGAAGCACAGGGGAGATGTTAGAGAACTCTTGGTCTGTAAAACTGCTTTGATTCTTAAAACTCTATCTTTTCCTCCAAGCTTTGTGGGTGATTAGGGCCATGTCCAGCTGAACTACAATGAATGTTCTCCATGTTCTCATTGTGGCCTTACAGTACCTTAAGGGGGCTTATAAAGAGGAGGGAGAGGGACTTGTTTATGAGGGCAGACAGTGACAGGACAAAGGTAATGGTTTTAAACTGACAGAGGGCAGGTTTAGATTAAATGTTAGGAAGAAAATCTTTTCTGTGAGTGTTGAGACACAGGCACAGGTTTCCCAGAAAAACTGTGGATGCCCCATACCTGGAAGTGTTCGAGGATGGGTTGGGTGGCGATTGGAGCAAACTGGTCTAGTAGAAGGTGTCTCTATTTGTGGCAGGGGGGTTGGAGGTGGATGGTCTTTAAGGTCTCATCCAACCCAAACCATTCTGTTTATGTTCTTCTATCCCATCAAAATATCCACTCCAAAAGGAAATCCAAATACATTAGAATATGGGAAAGCATTTCCGGAAAAAAAAGAGCCTTATGTATTTCATATGATACAAAATTATGTGTTTCAATTCCAACTAAGAAAGTAATCATTTTTGAGTAGTTTAAGTTGTGATTGAATATTTGTTATTCTGGTCTGTTTTTCAAGTGTCTTATGACCTTGGTGGTGTAGTAGAACTGACTTTAAAATTATTTTTTTCCATATAAACTTTAGATATTCAGTTTGGTTTTTTACAGCCTGCCAGCCAGCTGCAAATTGCTTCACAGTTGTCTGTCTATGCTTACAGATTGGCCTTCTGGGAGGGAACAGGGACAAAGTGAGAAGATGGCATTAATGAAAGCTAGGCAAGCTTTTCCACATTTTGTATTAGACTCTTAATCTCTGCCAGATCTTTTCCCCAAGAGCTTCTGAAAGCTCTTCTATCCATGTGCTGTAAATCTCTAAAAAGAAACAATAATTTTAGCTGATTTTTTAGTTATTTTAGTGAATGCATATATACATTTTTTATAAATAAAGAGTGACACATTTGCAACTCTTTTGATAACTTTAAAGGGTTCTTTGCAGAATTGTTTGAGCACCATAATCACAAGTTATGATTTTGGTTTCTGAGCATTGGTTTACAGAACAGAACACCACACTCCAAGTTATTTACGAGTGGTGAAGGAAAAAAAATGGGAAAAGCAGACAAATATTTGTTTGAAAAGGTAATGAGATGTTTTTGAAACAAAAATAGAGACAGTTCAAATAAAAAATAAAAACCACACACACAATAGGTAGTTAAAAGAAAAAACAAAAAAAACCCAACAAAACACTCCCCAAATCTTGAGAACTAGGAAACCTGAGAGAAGTCTGTAGACTCGTCCCTCCCAACCCAGTCCTTCAGTGTGTGATACATTTCTATTGCTCTCAGGGACTGCTTACAGCTCTCCCATTACTCCAAGTGTGTTTATTTCAGAAGAGATCATAAAATGCTAGAAGAGGTGACATTTCATCTTTCATGGAATTTTTTGTAATCAGAGATAGGTCAAGGTTAATTAGGTTTAATACAGTGTTGTGTCTGTTTTTTTTTTAAACCAGAGCGCAGTGATTGGCACCTGACACAGTGTGTGCAACCCAACATTTACCTTCTGATCTGTTCAGTAAGTAATGAGATTCCCAGAACAGCAGAATTTGCTGCAAAGACATTGGGCTGGGACTCACAAGATTTGAAATTTATTCCTCATTCTCCTGCTGACCTGCTGCGTGCCTTCAATAAAAATCACTTCAGCTCATTCCTTTTCATTGACACCCTTTGCTGTAACTTCTGTATACAGGTAGTGACCTTCTAAGGCAGCAAAATGACTTTATAATTGGAAGTTGGGCTTTTTAACCTCCTCAGTGTAAACACCATCACTCTTCCTCTCTAACAATCTCTGCATCAATTCAGTCCTGTTAAAAGCTTGATCCATAAGTAGCATAATGCAATTAAAATGCCTTCACCTTTTTATCAATAGCAAAATTCAGTACAACAAACTGACACTTACTCTGAAGTGATGGTTATGAAGTAGCTTATTGTAAAATAGGTTTGATGGAGGCATTCCAGTTGTCCAGCCAACAGGCAGCATCAAAACCTTCCCACTTACAGGGATTTGTAAGGGAATACTCAGCTCAGGAAACAAGGAATTAAAAAGCAGAATGAAATGCAAATCTGTCACTTGTTTGCAAGTATGGTCCTCCTTGGACAAGACTGACACGTTCTGCTGCCCCCCTCCCCCTATTTATTTTTTTGGGGGGAGGGAGGTGGTAAGGGGAATAATGGTAGAAAGACTCAGACCCAAAACTTTCCTTAATAATGAGCTGTTAAAAGAAAATGTAGGTTTCTAGTAAAGGTTTATTGAATATCTACTGTGACAAAACAGCTCTGTATTGACAATAATACAGAGCTCTCATTTCCTTTCCTTTTCTAACCATGATTTTTACAACTTTGCTGTCCTCTAAGACAGAAAAAGTAGAAAATGCAGAGAAGGTAGTAAGAAAAAAAAGATGTGAAATGATGAATTGCATTCAGCACCAAAATATGTAGGGAGAAGAGTTAGAATGGCTGTTAAAGAAATCATATCATGAAAGATAAGAAAGCTCAGAGAACATCAGTCATTCTTATTCTGCATGTTGGCTGGCACAGTAAAGGCAATAAACAAAACATACGCTTCCCTTTGTGTAGTACACAAAATCAGGATCTGAAGAAAAATAACAGGAGAGCACTAGAAGGGAGTCAGCTAAAATAAAATAGATTCCAGTGCTGCCATTTGCAGTATCCTGCAGTGTTTGCAAAAGTTTTTTCCTCAAGCATTAGCAGTGTTAAAACTTTAGACAGCTTCCTTAAAGTCTTTGTGGAGCACGTTGTGCTAATTCCTACAGTGTTCAAATGATGTTTTGGCCTGGTAATAGTATGCAAAACTCCTGGAAGGCTGTGTTTAAAACAAAAAAGCTACAAGCAATTCTTGCTAAATTGTTCCTTCCTGCACTTTCAGACACTGTCACACAACATCCACTGTAGTAAGCACATTAAAAATGCAGTCTCAAGGTCTAGTCAGCAGTCTGCTTCTGTAGTACATTAAAGCAAAGGAGTTCTACAAAACGAATCTCTAACCTGTTATGTGGTTCCCCAGCTGCATCCTGTGCTACACAGAGACACTGCTTATTCAAATGAATAATGATAATAAAAACCAATCATCATCTTGGCATACAGTAACACTTACATGCTGGAATCAAATCTCTTTCACGGGGTGGTTGGTGGCTGTTTGGGTGGCAACAGGAGTTTGTCACATGGTTCCTTGCAATGACTGTTTCAGATAGATCAGGTGAGACTTCCCAAACCAATGCTCTACAAAGCAGGGCTTCATCGATGTAACAGTTACCTGGGAAGACAAATTACATAGAGTTTTTATTGCTGAACACAATGCCATATGGTCTGGGATATCCCTCTGGTCAGCTGGGGTCACCTGTCCTGGTTGTGGCACACCTGATCTTCTGGTGTACCCCTAGTTTTTACAGCCTCTAGAAGCCTAGAATTTAAAAAAAAAAATTAAATCTTGATTAAAAAAATATTCATTTTAAGTAATTTGATCTAAGTCTGATATTTAAACTCACCACCTCTAAACAATCTTTTCCACATTCTAAAGAGAAGCAGATTTCACTCTGCAGTAGTTCGTTCTGCAGCTGGGGTATGAGGGGATATATCAGTATCTGCAACTAGGACAAAAAGTTTCAACTGCCAAATACATGATCCAAGATTTTGTGAAGGACAAAGCACAGACCCTATTAATTTCCATCTTAAAAGTACCATGGTTTTAGTCTGTCTTATTCTTTGATGTGCAACCATCAATGAGGACTTACCTGTGAAAACATGGCAATTAGTTCTGCATGAAAGCAATCAATATTGTAAAATTCAAGAAAAGGAACAAACTCTTTTGTTTCACATATATTGTCCCAGAACACCTTCCTCCCAGAAGGGTGATCAAGAATACTGGGAAATATTTAACAGCAAAGTAAATATTTATTTGAAAAATAAGAGAGTGGTCCTCAAAGCACTCAGCTATTGGTCTAGAGAGTAAAAAACCAAACAGGAGAACAAAACTTTTAAAGTGCTAGGTGTGGAAAAAATGGAAATGAGCTGGAATTTGTATTCTGAAGAAGAACTAAAGTAGAGCAAGAGAAGAAAACAGCTGCTTCAGGAATACAAACGCTAAATTTATTAATGCAAGAGAGGACAGTATGATTAAGTTGTTTAATGTACTGTTTAAAGCACCAGAACAGTTGGCTTAGTATATTTAACCAGGAAGGCTAAAAAAGCCATGAGCCTAGGCTGGAGTAAGTTCATAAATGGGTTACCTTCCCAATATTTTAGATTGTTTTTGAATTATTTATTTTTCCCCTCGTGCTCTATTCTGGAATAACTGTATGCAATACAGGAGTGCCTCAATAACAACAATGCAAGTCCCAGTCCCAGCTAAGTCCCAGCTGACTGTATCACACTGGGTGTATTCCTGACACTGAGCTGACACTTGGCCCAAGCCAACCTTAGGGTATTTTCTCATCACAACAGGTACCAGAGCATTTAATTATTTTACTGCATTCTTCTACAGTTAACATCTACAATGGCTCCTTCAGAAAGCAAAATAGAACAGAAATGCTAAAACTTTACCTAGAAAAGGGAATACAAGTTTTATTCTAGCAGTGAAACAAATGTGATGTCAACAGAGAACTCCAATAATAGGGAGATAGTGGGGATGTGCCCATATGCTTGCCATCTAATTTTAACATCACTTTGCCATTCTAATTTTTTACCCCTCAACTTGTCTTGAATTTGGTTGCTTTAAAGGTCCTTGATACAACAAGAAGTTAGCCTGTATATGTTAAAATCATATTGTCTGTTATTTAAATTTATTTTCTGCTACTTACCCTCAAACCAGTTGTAGAGGGTAAAGGAAGAAGGGGAACTTTTGCCATTCTGATTATCTATTGATGTTCTGATTATCTAGACAGATTCTATAAGTCTGTATCAGTGGCAGAGGTCTGGGTAGAATTAGGATCAGCTAATTAATAGTAAAAGGTCACTGGAGCCCTTTATTCATATAAACATATATATGTCTATACGTACACACAAACACCTAGAGGGAGCAACACCTTGCAGCACTGCATCAGAAGGAAAACCAAATGAACTTTAACTCATACTCAAGAACAGTTTCTGTTCTCACAGACATCACACATTCATACAACCAATAAGAGGGAAATTTGGATCACTAAGTATCAAAAATGATCCATGTATGCCTTAAGGAATATATCACTGAGGAATGGTAGACTGCTTGTGACATAAGCCAATAACTGGTCCTCTCAAGAGAAAATGCTGTGGAGAACAAATGTCATCTCTCTGCAGGGAGTAAATGAGCAAAATTCTGCTCACTGGGACTCTTTTTTCCACACTGAAGAATTTAGTTCACTGGCAACACTGTCTTCCTGTATGTTACCCACGCTCCAGTGAAAACACAGTCCTACTACTTCTGCCTTAAGGACAGAATAACCTTAAAGTTATTCCAAATGGAGTTAAGCCTTAAGAGACCTTGTAAAAAGTCTTAACAATCAAACATGACAACAAACTGCATCTTTCACAGCGAATGGATAAATAAAGTACCCAGCAGTGAAATGATGGGCTTGCAGGAAATACACAAATCCAACTCTTTTTCCACAGTCACACAATGTGCTACAAAACAAAGATATTCATGGGAACCTTTTGTAAGTGTAGTTATGGTAGTTCTTGGCTCCTTCCATCCTCAGTAGAGGTTAACCAATACAAAGTGCCATCCTTTTTCTATTGGTCATAGACAAAAATCTAAAATTAAAACCAAGTTTTGTGTCTATTGCTACTTTGCTGAAATAATCAGTTTTATTCTTTGTTTACAATTACCCAGAACATAAAAGAAACTGCTGGATACATTATCAGTTACACACTGCTTGCCAGTCACAGCTATTTATGATGCTAAATTATACTGCCTAAGTACAAAACCAAAAATTGCCAAAAATCGGGGAATTTATAAATTGGGAAAGCAGGAGGGGTAGGAGGGATAAGCTAATGCCATTAGCTTATGGTTAACCTTCTTCAAAAGGACAATTCAATGTGCTATTCAACAGGTAAATAATTCAAGTTTTCATTAATTTGAATATAATTTAGCAGACACTCTCCTGTGACAGCTACTGTTGAACAAACCACAATTATTTTGTTGATCCCATTGTAATGATTTATATTTGTAGGATGAGTCCTAATTTCTAAGATCATCACAAATTGAGAGAAAAAACCATTTTATGTACTTTCATTTAGATTATAAGTGAAGTAAGGTACTTATATTCAGTGTCCTACTTTTTCTTAATGTATAAACTTCCTCTATAACTACTTAAGATTTTAATTTAAAAGCTAATCTTCTAAAAATAATATTAATTAATATAGTTTTCTTTCTATTCCCCTACTACCTTCCATCCTTTCAGTTCCAGGTTTTCAACTGTAATGGCCTTCAGTTCTCCTACAGGTTTCCTAGCTGAGAAACAAATTTGTGCCAGCTTGCTGAATAACCTCAGTGATGTTCAGTCACTCAGAACTTCTCCATCTGTGTGTCCATCCATCCAGAGAACCAGATGCTCTCAAAATGCCTCACCCACCTTGCCTGGTGTATCAATATCCAAAATGTGTTCCTTCCATAGCTGCCACTTCCAGCCCTACAGCAAAAGTAACAACTGGCCTACCTGGAGCCCTCAGTTGTTTGCCTGGTCACAAAGAGTGTTTTCTTTATGAGTCAGTTGTTCTGCTGCCAGAGCTAAAGGGAGACCTACAAAAGGTCTCTGTACTATAGTTACTATTTACTATAATTAGTAATTAAAATCACTAGCTGAAGGTATTATAACAAAAATTAATAGAAAGCAACCATTTCACTCAGGAAGAAAAGTAGTTCAGAGAACAAGCAGATTCCATCAGAATGACAAGCTAAAGTTTCTATGTGTAACTACAGATCTATCATTTGTTTTCCACTGATAGGCATTTAGACAACTCAATTATTTTATTATTGAGATTAGAGAATGAGATAATTATATTAACTCCCTTTCTAAACTCATATATCATCCACTGACAGGTTGCAGAATTATTCTTGCCAAGAACCTGATGATTAAATAAGAACTTGCTTCAACAGATATACAGAAATGCCCTTGATTCTTTGTTACACATCTGTGCAGCTCTTTTTTTAGCTCAATACAAAATTTAGTACATCAGATCTGAACCAGAAGCTAATCATTTTCAAAAACATTTGGCTGGTAAATATTTCCTTCAGAAATTTCTTCTGAAAATACCTTAGAAGAAAGTGTCCTCATGTGAAAAAGAAAATCATATATAACAATTTTTATAAGTAAAATGTTTAATTATCATAAATCATTACAACTTGTCTGTGTTACATCCTCTTGAGTGAACAATTAATTCTGATTAGAAATCAGAAATATTATATCTTGTTCTTAGAAACAAAAGAAAGATATATATGAATCTCAAGGCTCTGTTAAAGGATGAAGCAGGAAAAAATAGTTCTGATTTATATCTAGAGATAGATATTCCCACTCATATTACATTTCAAAGCATTGCAAGAGAGATGTTTATTATGTAATATGGTGAAAGGTGTCAAGTGAACTGTCCTGCAGAGTTAAGTATCTTCAATCATAGTTAATACCAGTGTACTAAGAATGTTGTAGAATCAGTTTAAAAGTGATTATCACTAAAAAATGAAAAGTTACTGAAACTCGATATTCTCTTTTAGCAATTCAGTTGGAAAAGTTTTACTTTTATTTTCATTGATGTGCTTTACTAAGTACATCGAGTCAGTTTTTCCTGAAAGATAATAATAATATAGTTACAAGTCACATAAGCCAGTGGACTGTGTTAAATGCATAACACTTAGAAAAGGCATCTATGCATTTTAGGAGCTAAATTTCTAGTTAAGATAAACATTCCATCACTTAAGCATCAAAATTTCTGCCCTGAGCTGCTATTCACTGCTAGAACATCTGTGAAAGCCAAAGTTGCTGCCTTCCAACTGTTTGTTAGCATTACTCTTTTGCCAAAAATTGCCAGTCCCATAGAATGTGATGTTGCTAAGCCAGCAGAATTCAGGATACAAGGATTTCCTCATCTGTTTCAGCATAATGTTAGCCAAGTTAACTTCAGTTCAACTGGTCCTGCATTGTAGTGAATTAAAAGGAACAAAGTTTCTTCTAAAGATTAAATGTTCAGTCATGTACATTTTTGCAAAATGGTAAAATCAAATTTAATCATTAAAAACCTGCTCCAACCTGAGTCCTTCCCACAGGCTGCAGCTATTCACAAACTTCT